GGTTTTTCTACAGAGCGATCCACAGAGCGCGTTGCTCTGCCAAGATTCGTTTGAAAAACCGTTTCTACGCGCTTAATTTGTCGATCCGATGTCGGGGCACGTTGTCGTACCTTCTCCCGGAAGCGCGTAACATTTTCATTTTCCACGAAGAAAAACGTCGACAAACATTTTTATTATTTTTTTTTTGACGATCTCGCAGTTCGACGATAAATCTGAGAAAAATTGGGCGCACTGCTTTTTGATAGTACCTTATCAGGCAATTAATTTCAGGGTGGCTTGGTATTCTTATTTTCGAGATATCTTCAATTTTCCAATTTTTTGGGGGGCTTTTTCATTGTTGATAACCACAGCTTGCGACCGAAAAATCTGAAAAAATTCTATAATATGCGGCTCGATGCCCGAAACAAGCCACAATTTTTTCAAAATTTTAAAAAGTCACCGAAACCCTTCGGTGAAGGGAGAATTGGCAGAAAAGCGCCTATAAATCTAATTTACATTTACAGAGAAATAAATTCTATAACTACATTTACAGAGAAGTTCCAGGGTAGAAATTTCGCACGGATGAGCTTTTCTTGGTCAGCTATCGAACGGTATAATATTCGTTAAAAAACCTCTTAGGGCAATTTTATCGAATCCACGATTAGCGCGAAGCTCGTACAATTTTCGAAATTTCCGAGGTTTCGCGTTGCATCTGCGATCTGCGCGAAGCGTCTCGCGAGGAAAGAAATTCGCGGATCAATTTACGGTCTGTTCGTTTCGTTCGAATGTCGTTCGGTTCTCGATTAATGAGATATCGAGTGTCTCCGAGCAGATTTTGGAGCGCGTTATCTGGAACGGCGCGGTGTAAAAACGGTCGCCCGCGTTTATGAAAGACGTTGTAGAACACGTGCACGTAGCGCATTGTCTAATGTCTCCTGTCGTGGCAGTAAGGGGAGAAATTGAGATAAACTAGGACAATCAACGGCGACGGAATGGGGGGAAGGTCTGAAAGCACCAGGGACGTAACTGTATGGAACCTCCGCTGCTTATCAGCGCCCTGGAGTTATTAGTATCGACGTGGTTTCCTTAACATTGAAATCTCCCGTCGCCATCCCGGCCGCGGGCCTCTTCTTATCGCTGCGCGACTGTCCGTAGCATCTCCTTTGTCCAGTTACAAGTCTATCGGATCAGATACTTTCAATATTTCCGTCAGTCTTCGTCGATTTTACCAGACTTTGACTAAAAGTCTCGAAAATCTCTGGCGAAAAAATCGCGAAATTTACGATGGATATTTTTTGATTGAACACCGATTTTTATAATAAATTTGGATAACTTTAACGCGCTTTTTAAACGTGTACGACTTCATCGTTAAAATTGTCTATTATTAATTAGAAAGAAAAGTTAGAAAAAGAAGAGAGTGACAAGAAACAAACATGGCGTTTGACAGATATTCTCATTCAATATCCTGAAGGCTATTTTGGATAACCATGTATTTATCTTGCGATTAAACGTTATATTAAGATTCCTTAAAGCTCTGATCCTACAATTGCAATATCAGGAATTGTTAAACAAAAGATTAGAGACCAGTCGTTTCGACTGACTTGGTAATTTTAGTATTAAAGACGATGAGGCTGGAAATCCAATCGGTTTAAACAATATTTGGCTTGAATTAAATGTGAATAAAATATCTCAGCATGATCTGCTAGATGGGAGAGCAGAGAGGGAGATGCATCCCACCGCAAAATTTAGGCTAACCGGACAACGCAAAGATGCAAGTCCGATCTTCCAAATTATAGATCATTCGAAGATCTCGTTGCAATTAGCGAAAATCGCTGCGCAGCGTCTCGTCGAGATCCATGGACAATCAAAGACAGCTCACTGTAATAAATTTTCTCTAATTGACGCTCAGACTGTGCACAAAAATAAACAATTTGTGAAGAGGAGATGCGATTATTCGAGCCTTGTATCACGTTTTTATAGTTATTGACAATCGAAGTTATCGATTGTTAACAACTATATAAACTATATATCCTTTATAGTTATAAAGGCTCATATAATCGCATCTCCTCTTCCCAAGTTGTCCATTTTTGGGCGCAATCCCAGCGCGAATTAGGGAGAAATTACTGTACTTGCTAGAACTATGCAGCGACTGCTTTGACTCGAATTCCCCGAAGACAACTCATAATACAATGACGTAAATTTTTTAATTTCAACATTCTGAAACTGAATTTTATTTTTACATATTGCTGACAGTTTTCTGATTAAAATGAGACCAAGCATGACATAGTTTGAACAAATATTCCTGATTATTCAAAATAAGATTGATCACGATGTAATTGAATAAATATGGACAAAAGCACGTCGTGTTTTCTCTCATTTGAATTGGAAAAATCTGACCAATATATTGAAAAAATGTTCACGTATAGAAAATTAGAAATAAAAATGTCAAGTCATCGATGAATTTACAATAATTTGACCAAATATTCCTGATTATTCAAAATAAGATCGATCACGAATTGTAATTGAATAAATATGGACAAAAGCACGTCGTGTCTTGTCTCATTTTAATTGAAAAGATCTGACCAATATATTCAATTGGGAAGAGGAGACGCGATTGTTCGAGCCTCGTGACTCGTTCTTATAGCAACCGATTGTCAATAACTATAAAAACGAGCCGCATGGCTGGAATAATCGCACCGCCTCTTTTCAAATTATTCCAAATTATTATCTTTGTTTGCAAGCTGAGCACCAATTAAGGAGAACTCACTGTAATTAACTGTCGAACGAAGGACTTCCGCGACTATGACGAAACCGAGTCTGCTCGGAGCGGAGCGGGGGAACGTAGACGGGCCAAAACAACGCGGCGCGGCGCGAGCCATTCCGGTATCAGTCGGATTAATGATGCTCGGGGTGCAACAACGAGCCGTAGTAGGCTAATAATGTCTGCAACAACGGGCCAAAGCTCCGACGGTGTTGGTTTATTCATCGGCGCGCGGCGGACGGTAAAGTGCACTACATAGATTTCCGCGCGAGTTTCCGCGGCTATTTTCCCTTCCCTCCCCGACCGTCCCCGCCGCGATACCTGCGCGCCTGCCACGCGGAGTAAGGTAAGTTAATATCGTCGGCCGGGAAATCGAGTTTACGCGGGAAAAGAACAGCAGCGAACGAACGGTAGCGCTGTTGTTCTTCGACCAGCGTCGAAGTTTCATTCCGGCGCACAATGCTGATACTTCTTACCTTTTTCCATCGAAAGGAGACAATGGTTTCGCCGTTTATTGCGCTGCGCGGGCGATACCTTTTTTGGGAAGTGGGAACCCAAATGTGCGAAACAGATTTTAGGGAGTCGAAGGGAAATCAAATTCGAACACGTTAGAATTACAGAAAATATTGTCGAATTGTCCTTCAGCTTGCAAACGAAAATGGACAATTTGGGAAGAGAATTGTCCTTCAGGTTGCAAACAAAATTGGACAATTTGGGTAATGAATTGTCCTTCAGCTTGCAAACAAAGATGGCAAATTTGGGAAGAGAATTGTCCTTCAGGTTGCAAACGAAAATTGACAATTTGGAAAGAAAATTGTCCTTCAGATTGCAAATAAAAGTGGACAATTTGGGAAGAGAATTGTCCTTCAGCTTGCAAACGAAAATGGACAATTTGGGAAGAGAATTGTACTTCAGCTTGCAAACGAAAATGGACAATTTGGGAAGAGGATTCTCGGAAGCCGATTGCCAACAACTATAAAAAGGACAACTATAAAAGGCTCGAAGCTCGAAGCTTGCTCTTCCCAAGTTGTACATTTTCGTTTCGAAGCTGAGGGACAATAATGGCAGAATTTACTGCATCGACGAGGGTTTTTTGTTGTGGTGCATAACAGGGCTGGTCCAACTTTTGATCACTATTGCGACCTGTTCTTTTAAATTATAGGTCTGCTAACATCGTATGTGTTAAGCGTTCATAAAAAAAAAATAGTGATTTAACCCTTTCATGGGCACAAAATGAATTTCGAAAAGAATTGGAACATTCACCTACCATAATTTTATCGTACAGTAATACAGCTGTTATTTAATCGTTATTTTATTGTTATATAATTCGTTTTCCTGTTATTTCTAATTTTTCACCCTTCAAGATTAGAGATTCGAGTTTTCAATCGTGTCGCGTCCCGCTGCAGCGGCGTTTGCTTACGTCCGACGCTTTCTTCGATTAAAAAGGCACCCTTCGTTAATTGAAAAAAACAACTGCTCGATCGTTCTCGCGAATCGCTATCGCATCACGTTCTCGAATCGCGACGACCGAATTTTCACAGTCGCCGAAACAGAACGGCCGCTTCGACCGGGCGCGTCTCGTTGATTTCAAGTCGGTTCTCGCACGCGCCATTATTTTCCGGCGAGCACGAAGAACCGCGCGGTCCGGTTGCGAGCTCTTTAAATTTCAGTCCCGCAAAAATTGCGGCATATTGGATTTCACGCCGGCGAGAGCGGCGCGAATTTGTTAATCACTTTCGGGCCCGAAAGTAGGCGGGGACGGAATTTTATAGGCGGCCGCGCCCGCGCACGCGACCCGGCGCGTTATAAATTTGTTCACGCGACCAATTATGCCCGCCGGTACACGTTAAACGGCCTCGTAAAACGCTTGTTATTATTCTTCGTTCCCCCGGCCCCGCCGAATTTCGAGCGAATTTGACGCGACGCCGCGCCACTCGCGTCGCGAGAATTTCGCGCGCGACGCTCTGTCCTCCCTGCTCTTTTTCCCGCTAGCACGGTCGCTCGGAACCCTGGCAAATCTGCCTGTTCACCCCCTCTAACCCCGCGGCGTTTCGTTAACTAGCTTTAGCGAGGCAGCGGGCGATCGCGCGGGTAAGGAAATTGCGTACTGAAAATTAAACGCGGACCGAAAAGCACGGCGGCCTTTCGTCCGATCGATATCGTACGCCGTACGCGTCTGAAACGCGCCGGCAATTAAATTGGCCGGCATCGGCTCGGGAAAACAGCTGCGAGGACTGCGTTCCGCGAATGCAAAACTCACCGTGCACTTCTGCGGGCCACGGCGAACGCTTCTTGCGCGGCTCCATGCCTCTCCCTGGAACAAACAGAGATTCGTTCGATGAATATCAAAGTCGGTCTCCATCCTGAACGACTTTTTAAATACGGCTTGTACTAGGTGTACGAGAGATAGATGTCACGATTATGCGAAATTGATTCTACGCCTTCGATTTATTTGTGGAGAACGATGCAAGAAAGGTGCTGTAAAATGACTTGTTTTTTCGAGATCAAAAGTTGTAATTATTTTCTTCGATGTGTCGCTTTTTACTCGTCTCGAGGACCGAATTTGTTCAGAGATGGTTTTATTTTAGAAATTTAACAATTTTATTACTAATATTTACTTATTCACTTAACATTGACGTAGAGTGGCCCACGAAAGTGTTCGTATACATTTTAGAACGCGATAACTTTTTTGAAACTGGACTAAATCACTTGAATTTTTTTCGCGAGCCTAAGCCAGGCCTGTATTAAGTTAGGCTACGTTTGGTTCTTGAGATGATCAGACAGCGATACGAACAAGAAAAAAATGTCAACTTTTTTCACCATGGGAAAACCAGCGTTGGTCAATTTTGCGATACCTTGCTTGCATTTTTTTCCATTAACACTGGATTTAAGGAGCACAAGAAACAGCTGTTTTATACTAGTTTATAAAAGTAACGATGGGACATTTATTCTGATTTTTAGCAAGTGTTATTGTAACTTATAAATTAAATTATATATATAATTCATAACTTATAACTTATTGTTTTAATATATAATATAATATAATATATATAATATAATAACATAATAATATAATATAATAATATAATATAATAATATAATATAATAATATAATATAATAATATAATAATATAATATATAATATATATAATATAACTTATTATTTTATATATACATTTAATTTATAAGTTGCAACAACACTTGTTAAAAATCAGAATAAATGTCTCACTATTACTTAACATATAAATTGAATAAATAACTCATAATAAACTCCAATAACACAACAAATACCTCATCTTTACGATACGAATAATCCTAAATGAAAAAATCAATGACCCGTCATTTCGACAGGTTCCGTAAATCTAGCGTCGAATCAAGGATACAGAATCGACCTAGCATAATCGTAACGTCCATCTTTTTCGCACCCTGTACATACATTACGCAATTTCGCCCGTAATTCCGTTGAAAATGCCTTTTACAGAGAGAAATATCTCGATATAAATAACCAAGGAAAAAGACTCGCGAACGAAAAATAATCGCAAACGAAGCTCGATCACCGATGTTCACAAACGGCAATTACTGCGGTAACAAAGTGCTCGGAGACTTGCAGATTAATCCACAAAATATCGGGTTTAATCTGGCCGAGCCGCGAGTGCTCGACGCCGGCAGATGAAACGCGTCCGAATTTGCTCACAGGCTGCGGAATCAATTTAAACTTTAAAATAATACGAGTAGCGTCACCGACGGAAGGGCCGACGCCCCCCGTGGGCCCGGAGGGGAGGGGAGAGGGGTTCAACACCTCCGGGTATGCACAGCAATTTATTGGACTTTCGAGCCGCCGGTTTTTCAATTTTTAACAATACCTGGCGGAAACGTTTTGACACCCGATTTAATCATAGCCGAAACGAACGCAACGGTCACGCGCGTGAATCCGCAATGGCTGTTTTCCAACGTGCAGACCCTTTTTCCCTCCCCCCCTCCCCTCCGTGTGTTTCTCGGCTCCGTGAATTTTCGAACGGCGCCGAAATTTTTTTTACTAATTGAGCAATACATTCTGCGAGGCGGCGCGACGCGGCGCGAGGACGAATTGTCGGGGATCAAAGCGATACGCGAGTCGCGCGCGTCACCGTGGAAATTACGCTAAATTCTGCACGATTGTCTGCCGCGCGTACGGCCCCGGGGAAAAATTGGTCCTCGATTTATCGCGGGATCGCCGAGTGGACGTCGATGGGAAATAAATTAAAACGCCTTGTTTCCCGTTTTACCCCGCGACCCCGACGCTCGGCCGCGCGAAAACGCGTTTAACGCCGGACGTCACGTCGACGAACGTGCCAGCGCGCGCGGGCGCACGCTCTCGCGGATTTTCAGCCGCCGACGACACCCCCTCGGTGACTGTGAAACGTTATTTCTCCATCGGTTCCATTTTTTATTTTCTCGAATTTCTCGCGCGGTCGATCGAATCAACGGGGACGCGGAATTAAAAAGGGAATCGTTCGACAGCTTTCGGCTGCATAAATTTCCCAGCCGAATCAGCGGCGCCGATTTTTTCGGGAATCGCTTCGAGCACATGCTCGGGGAAAGCACGGCGGAGGCCCGGAATTATTCGCGCAGTGCCACGTTTGTAACGGAACGCGACGATCCGGGGGTTCGCGACGGTCTTTTCGAATTCTTTCTTTTTTGTCATTCTGCCGGTCGATTTTTCTAATCGACGATTCGCCCAAAAATTTGAGAATATGCAGTGGCGTAATAACTTTTTCAAGACTGGACTATATGACTTGAATTTCTTTTCAGATGATAGAGGGACTAGTGAACTAAACGATGGCTGAAAAGCTTTTCTTTTTAATTTTGTTATTACTTGGAATGAAAAAAAAAAATTAAAAACCCTCGTTTCTTAACTCTTTTTACCTGTAACGAAAATTAAAAAAAATGCCTTTTGTAGATCTCGGTTATTCATACGCGTGCTGAAAATTTCATCGAAATTGGTTAACCCAATTTCTACTAAACAATGACTGGAAAGCTTTCCTTTTTAATTACTTGGAATGAAAAGAAAAAATTAAAAACCCTCGTTTTTTAACTTTTTTTACCTGCAACGAAAATAAAAAAAAAATGCCTTTCATAGATCTGGGTTTCTTATACGCGTGCTGAAAATTTGATCGAAATCGGTTAACCCAGAGTCAAAATCGTGATAAAATAAAAAAGAAATCGTCAATTAAAAAATTAGTGGCCCGTCATTTCGACGGATTCCGTAAATCTAGTATTTAATTCTTAAATTTCACCGGACCGAACGTTGCGCATTGCATTGCGATTTGCAGCCTGGATTCACCCCACCCAAAAAAAAACGTCATCGAAATCGGTGACCCAAAGTCCGCGACCCCTCCTTGCAGGATACAAAAATACAGTTGCACAGTCATATCTTGTTTACGATGCAACCGATCCCTTTGTTCGACGAGCGACGTGGCTATCTATCGAAACTACGCTCGCTGCGGACTATACTGCCGCTACACACCGATTAGGATAACCCACGGTCTATCCGTCGCGATCCTCCTTTTTTTCCGAGGCCGGGAAAAATTTGTTAACGGGATGAATATCTGGCAACCGTCCAGAGCCCCGTTCCCGGTATTCCGACGGTTCCGATTTTTCTGGTATTTTCGCGAGTTTGCGCAGAAGTTCGATACAAATACCGGGGCCGGTTCTATTTCTCTTTCGGTTTGCTGCATGGAAAACCTGACTTTTCGAAAACGCCCGTATTTTTTTCCTTTGCCGTTAATATTTCCGGCGCTCCGGGCCAACAATGAATCGTTGATACGACGAGAAACGTTCGTCGGGAATCGCACGAAATCGACCGACTCGACTCCTCGTCGAACGAAAAAAATGGAAACGACCACGCGATTTCGAACAGTTTTGTTGCTATTCTATAGCGTTTCCAATCATTTCGAATAATTCTGCTAATAGCAGAATTATTAAAAATTCTACCTAACCCTACTTTAATAATTCTACCTAACCCTACTTTAATATTTCTACCTAATTTAATCCTCAAATGCGCGTCTGTTTTGTTTTCAATTTTATTGAATATCGAGTTGTCGAAATGACAAAGTGAATATCTATTTATCAAACTTTACTAAAAAATGAGTGCACATTAAGGGAAAAATAAAGGAAAAAATTGTATCTTTAGGGAAATAGTTTTTTATTAGAACATTATCGTCTTGTAACCGATGGGCTACATACGATAATTTTGTATATATATTATATATATTATATATATTTTGTGTATATTTATATATTATATATTATATATATTTTGTATATATTTATATATATTATACATAATTTCAGAAGAACCAATTCAATTTTATTTGTCATTGCTCTCCTTTTTAACTGGTTCGAAGTTAATAATATTATAATAAGAATTATTACATTAATATTAATAGTAATATAAAATATTAATAGTAACATTACTATTACAAATAACAATTAATTATTATAAGCGAGTAATATTATAGGTAATATTATTATCATAAATAACAATTAATTACTATAAGTAAGTAATATTGTTATTATAATATCAATCTACGGGCATTTTCCAAAGCAAACTATTGTATCTATTTAGCTCTTAGAGCAATCGGTCGGTTGCCGCCGCGAAAATATTCGTATCCCGTTAATTATTCGAAAACCGCTGTGGGGTCTTGTTTAATCCGGTGGCCGGTGGTTGTTTTCGGAAGAAAATGTCGAGCGGATTGGAGCGGTTCACGGTGTCGAAATAGTCTGAGGAGGTCCCGGGGCCGGGGCATGTTTCGCAAAACAACAGCGCGGAACAACCGCCGCGGCTCGAACAACCACAGCTCCGAAATAACCGGCCGACTCGGGAGTGGCTCCATCGAATCATCCTATTTTCACCCGGGGTCTCGGATGCTTATGCACAGAACGCCGGCGGTGTCCCTCGGCCGGCTGCACGAAAACACGCGGCAAATTAACGACGCTAACGATCGTAGTCGGCGCAAGCTCGCGCGCGCGAACCGGCAGCGTGAGCTGAGAGATCCGCGCGCGTCTCTCGCCTCTCGGCGTGAATTAGAAAAATAATTACTCGGCTCGATGTCCCGTGAATATTAAGCCGGGCCCGCAGGGCTTTTCTACGGAGGGCTCGGATTAATGCCGGCGCGGCGGCCGCGAAAGAAATTAATCCGCGCGACCGAGAAATTTCTCGGTGTAATTGCCGCAGGGATGCCGGAGGATTCACGAGCAATGGGATTTGATTGATTCCGGGATAACCGCGGTCCCGAGGCCCTAGGCTCCATTGTTCAGTTTGGCAAATGGGCT